TCGTGAATGTTGCTATGTAGAGTGAATGCAGTTCGCAATGCGATCTCGAATGAGGTGAGCGAATGCGATAACTCGGGAACTGAGATGGACATTAGTTGCAAAAACTCGGTAAACAAGCTTCTAGAAGAAGTTGTGAGTTAGCAATCGCATCAAATTAAGGGTCAAAATGAATGGAAATTTGAGCTCTTTGGTTTCAACTCGTCACTGCTCCTCGTAGCGCCTTCGAATTTGGCAGCGGCTCATCATACCTACTGCGTACTACCTTTCACGCACATTAGACCCAACGATGGAGAATCGTTGGTGTACGGGTTTTCTTAAGTGGCAGCGCACACGCTTTTCATTTCCTGATTCATGGAACAGAGATCCTTTCGCGATTTATGATGCCCTACATTTTTGAATTATTAATCAGTTTCCTGAGGGAACACTTCATTTTCAAACTTTTTGGGAGTGCTTTGTGAAATGCTCCAAAGTCACGAGAATAGTGTTGTTGGGAACGTTGAGAAAGGGAAGTAGGTGATTGAAACACCTGCTCTTTACTTAGCATTTATTGGAATCTTAAATGGGCTCGCACGATATTAAAGTAGTCGTTCTAGACTATTGCACTCCTTCCATGACACCCTCTTGATGAATGAAAAAGTTCGCGATCATGGCTCTCACAAATTAGCTCTTCGCACTATGTTTCCATTCTTTTCGTTCTCCCACAGTGCGACCAGAATTGAACTCTGTTTTCTACTTCAAATATTGCTGAAATCTTGCTCAAAAGCAAAATGTTTCGGATAATGAAAGAGAACAAATTTCTCACTGTCGCCAGCGGCTTCAGTTATAGCATAAGCTGCACTTTTTCAGGATGTCTTCTGACTACACTACTGCGGTGGAAGTAATTTCCGCGCTGGCTGTGGTCGCGAACTGTATTCTTCTATTCCTTTCGATTAGAGGCTCGTCGATTAGTGGTGATCACTCCAGATATCTGCTTTTTATGACACCAGTGATGGATCTTGCTCATGCAATGTGCTATTTGTTAATAGCACCGGTAAGTAGCATTTCGTAATTTCTATGAAGATATGGATGTTTTTCCTGTAGCGACGTTGATATATATAAAGCGGACAAGCTCGCACTCTTTGGGGGTTGGAGAGCCAAAAACTCATCAACGCATTTCTTCGCATCAGCATTTCCTTTTGTTTGGACGCGCCTTTGTTGCCTTCTCCATAGGTGATTCCAGCATGAATTATATACGAACTCCGTATGAACTCAGAGCGAGACTGTAAGAGGAGGACGAAACTAAGAAAGAAAGATTCGAAGAAGAGTCTGGATTTGGATGTACCAAGCGCGCAGTTTACATTAAGGGTTCTATTAGTTCCCAGTATCACCCGAACTAAGAAGCTTAAGCGCCGTGAAAAGGCGTTTTGCACGTTTATAGAGCACCACGAGAATCCAACGTATTTCTGCTATGGGGAAGTGATATGCATATATTGAGCACACTCCATACGTCATCAACTAATCAGCAAATGACACCATTTGATACCTTATATTCAGCAGACAGAAGTTATGATAAACAACAATAAAGCCGAATTTTCTGCATGATTGATACCGTATGTAAAATGATGTGGACGTCCGCGAAATCTTTGTACACCTAGAGGGTTGAATAAAAGTCCATCTCGAAGGCGTCAAGGAAATCAAAAAAACATCTAATATCGCAAATTGGAAAGCAAATTAACAAAGCGACTGAATTGAAACTCTAAACAAGTTCCAGTTGATTTCAGATTGAACATTTGCATTTATTGATGTGTCATAGCTAAGAAATCTCAGAAGTTGTCATTTTTCAGATCCCCCACTCTCGCAATTTTACTTTTCTTTGGATAAGTACAGGAGCACTGAGTACAATGTGGCCAAGTGGGATGTTTTTTGTGGCTTTCCTGTGCGCTTCAACTATTTCCTCACTGCTACTTGTGGGAAATAATTTTTTGTATAGATATATTACTCTTTGTTGGTGAGTCTTCATATATGTTTCTTCAGGCTCCCACTTCTGAGTGCGTTCCCTGAGACCTGACATAATGTCCGTTTGTCGTTTTAGGAATAGATTCTCTTATATATATTCTTCGACAAAGTTTTTGGTGATAGGAGGTGTGATCAATTTACTGCTTGTCGCGAACTGGGTAGCAATGATCTACTTTGCGTTGTGGCCAAGCGATGCTATTGTTGCCGCTGCTCGTTATGCTTGGAACGGGCAAATGGACCTTGTCAACAAAGTCTATATTGGCTTCACCAGTAGAGTAAGTTTTGTTAGCTAAAAGTTTCTTTTCTATGGTTGGTGTCAGGTGAACTTGTCGCAAAAATGACTGCATTCCGCTTTGCAGGTGCTTAATAGCGTTTACTTTTGGGTGACGTGAGAGCATGTGGTAAAATAAGGATGTGTGCAATAAGTACTGTTACCCAGGCCCCAAGCGTCACTTCCCAGTCGCGCAGAGTGTAGCAAAGTGGGTCGTTGGACTTCGCTACACTCTACGAGGACTCTATCTCTGAAATCAAGCTCAAACTACGGTTTAACTGAAAAGATTTTAAGAAAATTGGATGGCTGGGAAAAAGAGTTAGCAATATGTTCTAGCGAGTTCTTGCGACACGTACTACTTTTGAAACGATCTTATTCAATTTATGCGCTGCTGATAGTCCTTGCTGTTGTACGTAGTCGCTCTCTCTCATCTCTGTTCTGATGCTTCGGGTTTTCTCGGTGTCACTTGCGCCGAAATCTGCAAATATTGAATTGGAATCTCTGAGACAGTAGTCAAGTGCAACCGGTTTTTGATGGCCTCCCTTTTTGAATGGCGCTCTAGTCGGTGAGCTGTGATCTAGAGCTTCCCACACCAGATCGCAATTTTGTGCATCGTCTTTGCGATATGCAGTGTACACTACTGTGCTGCAAGGCAATTCACTGGCTCAGGCAAGCTTCGCAGGTGAACAGCAAAGATAATCGCTGTCAAGGAAGTGGCGAAAGCTACCATAGAACATAAATGTATTTTTTTCTGGAATCCAGATTTGGTCTCAGGCTGCTATGTTTCTCCAACCAGCACTCATTCGCAAATTTCTTTGGGTGAAATAGAGTGTTTAGGTTTCATCTCCAGTAACAATCCAACGTGTTTCTAAGTCAGAAGAGCACACCAAAGCCGTTACAAACTCATAGGCCTGGCCTGAATCCGGTGGATCAGCGAGTTGACTAGATTGGCAGCTAAGATCAGTCAGGCGCCTGCTGATTGTCACTGTCACGGTATAACGACAATTCTGCCGTGGGGGACAGAGTGAGGAGCTGGATGGTGCCTCTTCAATGCAACACTTTACGAAACAGGGGCGTCCATCTTGCATACCGTTTCATAGAGCTCATAATATAGTCGAATGATGGACTTTTCTGCCACGACAGGAAACTGTCTTATCCGCTTTCTACGTCCAGTATGCAAGAACATTCTGGACCGCTTGATGAGCGAAAATTAGCGACAACGAAACACTTGATAGGACACAAGAAATGGGAGCCCTAAAAGTGTCGCAAGAGTAATGAAATCCGAGATAGTGATTGAGAACTTATTAGGTGCCAGTATCACACCGAATTTGCCCACAAATGCGTCGACTGATTAGACTATATTGAACGAAAACACTTAAATGTGAAACATCGTAGCCGGATCTCGTTAGGGTGTTTACAAAACTTTGCCCTTGCGCACGGCCGCGTCATGGATGAGCTGAAAGGCCAATTAAAAAGCGAGGAAAACGGTAGCGATGTGTGATGGCTGGGCTCAGGTCTAGGTGCGGCTCTCGAATACTTCAGCCGTTTGCAGTTCTGCTTATCGTCACCCAGCTTTCGTATCGTGTCCCTTTTCCACAGCGTAAGTCATTGTGACCATCTGATGCTCATGATTATTGCAAGAAAGTGAGCCTTAAGAGAGGCATTTTCGTGCCTTCCCCCACTAGTAATTCGGTTATACACTGCTGTTTCAGCATTAAGCTCAAGGTTAACCCAAAAATAACGGATAACTTGGAGTAACCTGATTGATAGAAAACCTGCGAGCATTGGTTGGTACATAGTTTTCAACAGCTATTCGCAGGCTCACATGCGCGGCTGACAGTTGAGATTTGCGAGAGAAAGGTGACGATAAAGGCTCTACTACTTCACTCATCCGTGGTATAGAACCACTCTGATAGCGTGGAGTATCCGCTACAAACGTTTGAAGCAAGTATCTGTTATAGGATGTCTCACAAGCGTTCTGTAATACATACACCACCCTGAGCAGAGATCCACACTAGATTAGTGTCGTTTAAAGGCACGGTCCGCAATAAAAAGCCTAGGTGATTTTGCAGAAATGTGGAAGAAAATTCGCCAAGTGAACCATCTATGAAGAGAAAATGCCAAAGGGAACGTTGGAAACGCATTCGTCAGACCTCCTCTAGCCTCAAACAACTGTAGACCGAAAAGACCGCGCGCTGGGACATTCCCGTCGGCTGATTCCCAGTAATGAACCCTATGACTCTACAAGAGACATTGAATGCATCCACTCCATGATACTTGCCCGGGAGCATTACTTTTGGCTGGAAGGCCGACTTTGGAGGCGGAGTCTGGAGGCGGAGTCACTGGCAAAAGGGATGTACCACTGAGGGCTCTTTGCGCCTTTACCGTACAACTTTCCGCCGCGAAACTAGCACGGTTGTCCACTTCGGACCGCAATACCTTCCCACATAACCTCTTGCATTTGCGAATCGCTCTTTTAAAGGCACGCTTCGCGGCAACCTAGGTCTAGAACTTCTCAAATGTACAGCATGACCAGATTTGCATAAGAGGCGGGTACAACATCCAAAATGTGGAAAGTATAACCAGCTGAAGGCTCAAGTGTCAGCTGAGGCTCCTGCTGCTCCGTGGTAAAGCAGCCCGTAATCTTGAAGTGGACTGCGTTATACCTTCCTCGATTGGATGATGTTTAGTGGGAGCCATGCCTATAAGTCAATAATCTTCATTCAATCTTTCAATGCAGCAGAGTAACGAAAAGGTGAGTAAATTTATATGTGAGTCGGGTACATGAAGATGGTGAGCAATAATTCTTCCTGCCTGGAAAGAACTACTCGAACCCCGCTTCTCTCCAGGTTTTTGCAAATATTTAGAGAAGAGATATAAGGAAGTGCGTCCATCATGCAAGATAGTCAGCCCTGATGTAAATCCTGACTCTATGT